ATGAAATTTTCAAAAATTTTTGGGTGAATTTTTTTGGCTTTTTTTGTTTTTATAGTTTGCTTAGGACTTAGGGTTAGTGTTGATAATAAAAACGTATAAGTGGATTTTGGTATGGTTTGTATTTTTAAATTGAGGAACCTAATTTCAAGCTTCAGCCATTTCAAGCTTCAGCCGCGACAATAAATATTATTGGAATTTATACTCACATACTGTGATTGATGTAATTGGTTAAAGCAATGGTTAAATTTATTGAAAAGTTATAATTTAACAAATAAAAGATTAATAAAACTTATTGAAATTTATACTTACTTGCTATAATTTACATAATCGATTAGAGTATTAATATCATTATAAAATTTAACTTAACAAATAAATATTAATAAATCTTATTGAATTTATACTTCCTGTAAATTTATAATGGATTAGAGTAGTAATTCGTTATAAAATTATAATTTAACAAACAAAATATTAATAAATCTTATTGAAATTTATACTTACTTTCTGTAATTTACATAATCGATTAGAGGATTAATTCATTATAAAATTTATAATTTAACAAATGATATTAATAATTATTATTGAAATTTATACTCACATACTGTGATTTATATTATCGATTAAGTCATTAATTAATTCATTATAAAATTATAATTTAACAAATAAAATATTAATAATTATTAAAATTTATACTCACTCCCTGTAATTGCATGATCGATTAAAGTATTGATTAATTATAAAATTATAATTTAACAAGTAAAATATTAATAAATGTCGCGATGAAGCTGGAATTATCTGAAGCTAGAAAATATTTAATATGAAATTATCAAATTTGTTTGGGGGTGCGCCTTTTTAGTTTGGTTAGGACTTAGGTTTAGTCCCAATGTTAAGAGCATAAGGGAATTTTGGTAGGTTTATATTTTTAAATCAAGGTTCCTAATTTCCAGCTTCAGTCGTGGCAATAAACATTGAAATTTATACTCACTTTCTGTAATTGAAATAATTGATTATAATATTGATTAGTTCATTATAAATTATAATTTAACAATGAATATTAATGTTTTTAAAATTTATACACACAAACTGTTGTAATTAATACAGTATAATAGATTAGAACTCAATAATTTTGAAATTATAATCTAAGAATAATTTTAAACCAACCAACTGTAGTAGATCAGTGTATTAATTATCGTTATACAAGATTGTTCATTATAATTTTGATTTGATAGAATAACAATGTTAAAATTTCTTACTTCCTGTAATTCATATATGTAGTGTGTTAATTAATTTTTGACGCATTATGTGAATAGTATTCGGAAATTATACTCACGTGCTAAAAATTATATAATTCATTAGCACATTATCAATTATATTATAATGTTATACTAATTTAATAAATTTTGAAATTTATACTCACTTTCTATAATTTAAAGTGGCTGATTAGTCTATTATTTTATTTATCGCGACAGCTTATTCTGAAATTGACATTTTTAAGTCTAAAAATTCGCATACAACTTTTTATTAAAAATGCTCAAATTTTCAGAATAAGCCGCCATATTTATTATGAATTCACCAATTCTGGATATACTCACTTTCTAGTAATTCATGCAAACAAAAAAAGAATATTATTTATATAATTATGAAACGCAAATGGACTTAAAATGCTACTACATACTAGCGATAAAAATTGTTTTATTGCAGCTTCATTCAATACTGTATCTTCATTCGTTGCTGTATTTCCATTCGTTGCTGCATTTCCAATCGTTGTTGTATTTCCATTCTGTGCTGTACTTTTTCGGACTTCATTCGTTGCTGTATTTCCAATCGTTGTTATATTTCCATTCTGTGCTGTACTTTTTTGGACTTCATTCGTTGCTGTATTTCCAATCGTTGTTATATTTCCATTCTGTGCTGTACTTTTTTGGACTTCATTCGTTGCTGTATTTCCAATCGTTGTTATATTTCCATTCTGTGTTGTACTTTTTTGGACTTCATTCGTTGCTGTATTTCCATTCGTTGTTGTATTTCCATTCTGTGCTGTTCTTTTTTGGATCATTTTTGCGATAAACTTGAAAACGATTGCAATGGGCATGATTTTTTTTATCTTACTTAGTACTCCTGTATTGGCAATTTCTATTAAATCTTCATTTGTTACATCCTTATTAGGATCAATGATACTTCTAGAGATTTCATAGAAGTATAAATTTGTTGCATGGATTACCCTCTCATGGAATTCATATTTTTCTAAGTATAATCGTATTGTTTTACACACTACGTTCTGAAATTGTTCTTTAGAGAATTCACTTAAATCTTTGGATCCTAAATTACAATATATTTATTTATTAATCAAATCTAATATAAAGGACCAACATTATATTTTTGAAAATTTACCTATAAGGCATCAAATCATAAATATGTATTCCAAATTGATATATGCATTAATTAATAATGTGATTGTTTATTTTTAAAATTAACTACATAGAATACCTTCATCATTGGTTGCTTGTCCGTCGGAATTGATTGTAATTTTATATAGAAAAGAATCCAAAAACTTCAAAAACGACACAAAATTATTACAGGGTGTTTGATTATTTTCTTGTTTTTGATTATTTTTCTGTTTCTTTTCTTGTTCGGTTTCTTGTTTTACTTCATAAAATCATAAATATGTATCCCAAATTAATGAATACATTAATTAATAATGCGATTTTTTAATTTTAAAATTAACTACATAGAATACCTTTAGTTTCATGTACAAAAGAGGTCCAGAACTTAAAAAACAACTCAGAATTATTTTCCTGTTTATTTGCTTGGTCGGTGTCTTGTTTTTCTTCGTAAAATCACAAATTGATAAGTACATTAATTAATAATGCGATTTTTTATTCTTAATAAATTAACTACATAGAATACCTTCAGTTTCATGCATAAAAGAAGTCCAAACCTTAAAAAACAACTCAAAATTATCCCAAGCTTGTTTTTGATTATTTGCTTGTTCGGTTTTTTGTTTTGCTTCATAAAATCATGAATATATATCCCAAATTAATATATACATTAATTAATAATGCGATTTTTATTCTTAAAATTAACTACATAGAATACCTTCAGCATCAGTTGCTTGTCCAGTCCAAAACTTAAAAAATAACTCAAAATCATCCAAAATTGCTTGTGTTTGATTATTTTCTTGTTTTTGATTATTGTCCTGTTTCTTTTCTTGTTCGCTTTCTTCTTTTGCTTCGTAAGTATTCCAAATTAATAAATGCATTAATTAATAATGCGATTTTTTATTCTTAAAATAAATTACATAGAATACCTTTAGCATCGGTTGCTTGTCCGTTGGAATTGATTGTAATTTCATGTAGATAAGAAGTCCAAATCTTAAAAAACAACTCAAAATCATCCCAAATTGCTTGTGTTTGATTATTTTCTTGATTTTGATTATTTTCCTGTTTCTTTTCTTGTTCTGTTTCGTAAAATCATTAAATATGTATTCCAAATTAATAAATACATCAATTAATAATGTGATTTTTTATTATTAAACTAAACTACATATAATACCTTTAGCATCGGCCAGATAATAAGCCGAAAACTTAAAAAACGGCTCCAAATGTTTCCAGGCTGCTTGCGTTGGAGTATTTTCTTGATTTTCTTGTTTTGCTTCGTAAAATCATAAATATGTATTCCAAATTAATAAATACATTAATTACTAATGCGATTTTTTATTCTTAAAATTAACTACATAGAATACCTTCAGCATCGGTTGCTTGTCCATTGGAATTGATTGTAATTTCATGTAGAAAAAAAGTTCAAAACTTAAAAAACAACTCAAATTTTTGATTTTCTTGTCTTTCCAGTTTCTTTTCTTGTTCGATTTCTTGTTTTGCTTCGTAAAATCATAAATATGTATTCCAAATTAATAAATACATTAATTAATAATGCGATGCGATTTTTTATTCTTAAAGTAAACTACATAGAATACCTTTAGCATCGGTTGCTTGTCCGTTGGAATTGATTGTAATTTCATGTAGAAAAGAAGTCCAAACCTTAGAAAACAACTCAAAATTATTCCAGGTTGCTTGTGTTGAATTATTTTCTTGTTTTTGATTATTTTCCTGTTTCTTTTCTTGTTCGGTTTCTTGTTTTGCTTCGTAAAATCATAAATATGTATTCCAAATTAATAGATACATTAATTAATAATGCGATAAAATAAACTACATAGAATACCTTTAGCATAGGTTGCTTGTCCGTTGGAATTGATTGTAATTTCATGTAGAAAGGAAGTCCAAACCTTAAAAAACAACTCGAAAGTATCCTGAATTGCTTGCGTTTGATTATTTTCTTGATTTTCTTGTTTTGCTTCGTAAAATCATAAATATGAATTCCAAATTAATAAATACATTAATTAATAATGCGATCTTTTATTTTAAAATAAACTACATAGAATACCCTCAGCATCGGTTGCTTGTCCGTTGGAATTGATTGTAATTTCATGTAGAAAGGAAGTCCAAACCTTAAAAAACAACTCAAAATTATTCCAGGTTACTTGTGTTGAATGATTTTCCTGTTTCTTTGCTTCGGTTTCTTGGTTTTCTTGTTCAGCTTCTTGGTTTTCTTTATTTTCTTGTTCAGCTTCTTGGTTTTGATTCTTTGGATTATTTGCTAGTAATCGTTTCAAATCTTGCCATAGAATATCTGGATTATTTGCTAGTAATCGTTTCAAATCTTGCCATAGAATATCTGAATTATTTTCAGTCGTGCGTAGTTTTTCATCTTTAAGTGACTTTATCAACTCTTGCCATGGATTATTTTCAGTAAGTGACTTTATCAACTCTTGCCATAGAATATTTGGATTATTTTCAGGCGTGCGTGGTGTTTTGTTTATAATCCAATCTCTCGCATTTTTCCATAGAATTGTTGGATCCTTGCGTAGTATTTTGTCTTTAAATGAATTTTTCAACTTGTGCCATAGAATTTTTGCTTTATTCGAAATATCAATTAATAATACCATTATTTATTTTAATAATGCGATTTATTATTCTTAAACTAATAATATAAAATACCTTCAATTTTATGAGCACAAACCACGTCTAAGAATTTAATTTATTCGAAACATCAGTTGAAATACCATTAATTATCACTAGATATTAATTATTTACACTTACGGAAACTATCATTGTTTAGAAATTTGGTTTTACAACATTTATCCTGGTTTTTACCATACATCCAAATTATAACAAGAAAATTGTTGGATACGTATTTGTTATATTCGCTCAAACGTTTCTCTAAGTTCTTTAAGTTGTGTAAATTTTGCTTTGATTCGTCAGTATGAGGATCATTGCAAGCGTCGCAACCATCGCAAGCGTCGCGAGCATCGCAAGCAATTATGGCACAGTCAATATAACTATAGTAACTATAATACAAGATTGATAAAATTGCCAATACATGAAAAAATATATGTATTAGAATTATAGCAACTTACTTAATATTTGGCCTGATGTATTTTACTAAAAAAAAAAAAGTTATTAAATAAAGTTATTAGCATTAGGTTTGCATTGCGGGTGCCATTAGGCTTTGTCGGCATAGATTACTATTATTAATCAGATTTTGCTATTTTTATGGCATATTAGTTAGTATGTGTTTCTGTTTAAATATGCCATAAAACTGCATATCATCTGGTACACATTTGATTCGATCACTGATCCACAACCGAATAAGAACAATTTAATAATACCGGTACTCAAAATTTCTAGTTTAACTATTCTTTTCGAACTTTCATCTTTCGTATCTTTCTGTGGATTTTCATCTTTTGTATTTTTCTGTGAATTTTCATCTTTTGTAGTTTTCTGTGAATTTTCATCTTTCATATTTTTCTGTGAATTTTCATCTTTCATATTTTTCTGTGAATTTTCATCTTTCATATTTTTCTGTGGATTTTCATCTTTCGTATCTTTCTGTGGATTTTCATCTGCACCTTTCTTTTTAAGTTCAAAAGTAGGGTACGTGGTTATAACATGTACTCGCAATAATTTATCGTAATATTCGTAATGAATTCTCTTGTCAGATAAGTCATCCCAGCCAACTAAAAATAAAGATTTTATATTAATATATTATGTTAATATAGGTTCGTCTAAATTAGGGGTTGGACCCAGGTAGAAATTGTTGATATATGATCATAATAAATTACCCGGATAACCCGGGTAATTTAATAATACCCGGGTAGGGATT